CCACAGGCGCCCGCCACAACGCCCGGCTATTTTTTGGTTGCAGCCGTCATTGTAGTTTGGCGGGTCCGGGCTGGGGATTCGAACCCGCCACCTTAGGTGTACATGGCTGGTGCCTTAGCCGGTTGAGCTATAGGCGCCGAGCCGCTTTAAAGTTTCTTAAGCACCTAATTTTAGAATTTGTTTCTGTAGTTGCTTCTGGATTAGTCTCTTGGAAGTTTTTCTTTGTAGTGTCTTCATATATCTAAATGAGTTTTCAGATCTGTTTATTGCCATTATTCAATTAGATTAATTACATTCATGCCTTAATCTTTTATCTTTTGAGTAAAAATTTGCTGCCCGAAGAGAGTTAATAATACAAAAAGATATTTTCTTCATGTTGCTAACCAAGTTATTTCTGAATCGTCATTCTTGTGCCCAGGTGACAATAATACCTAATGTAAAATCTTTTGAGGACAGTGGAGGTGGCTCACTCCTGTAATCCTACTACTCTGGGAGGCTGAGGTGGAGAATTGCTTCAGCTCAGGATCCAGACCAGCCTGAGCAAGAGTGAGACCCTGTCCCACCTACTTGGGAGGCTGAGGCAGGAGGATCCCTTGAACCCAGCAGTTTGAGGTTGCTGTGAGCTAGGCTGACACTACAGTACTCTAGCCAAGGCAGGAAAGTGAGACTTTGTCTCAAAAGAAAATAAAAATTCTTTGGAACTCCTGTGTCACCGAAGACCTGGCATTATCAAGGGAGATTCTAGAAAGCATATATATGTGCATGTGTGTATAAATATACATATAATTTACATATATAATATATACAGATATAACATATGTGTGTGTGGGGTGTGTGTGTATGTGTGTATGTATATATCAGCCTTTCTTTTGAGACAAAGTCCCACCCTATGCCCTGAGCAGAGTGCAATGGCATCATATCTCACTGTAACCTCAGACTCGGGCCTGTGGACCTCCTGCTGCCTCAGCCTCCAGAAGCCACTGGGATTACAGGTGCTTGCCATAGCACCCAGGTGGGTTTTTCATTTTTTTAATGAGTTGGGGTCTCACTCTTGCTCAGACAAGTCTGGAGCTCCTGAACTCAAGCAATTCTCCTGCCTCAGCCTCCCACAGTGCTGGGATTACAAGGGAGCCTTTCATTTTTATTCTTAGAAAACAAAGATTTTATCATCTAAATCTTTAGGAACATACTAGTACTTTTCCTGATCCTTCTAAATGCACTGCACTTTTAAATAAATGGTCACCCAAACCATCCACAATGGGAGAGAAGTATGTTTGATATGGCCCCAGTGAGCAGAGTCCAGAGGCAGCCCAAGAGGAGAGGTTGCTAGCGGTTGGAGTCGTTTACCCAGGGTTGGAGTGCAGGCCTTGCTACTTCCTAGTTGTATGACCTAGGGCAAGTTACTCAGTCTCTCTAGCCTTCAGTTTCCTCATCTGTAAATAGAATAATAATAGTACTACCTCACAAGGTTCTGCAGTGAGTTCCAAATGGGATTGTTCAGGTAGAGGACTTAGTACAGAGCTCCATACAAAGGTAGTCATTAATCTTGTGTTGCTGCCATCATTCAGTATGTGGCCGTCACTCCTGCAGCCACCGCCTTTCTCCTGGGCTATGTAGGAAACGGGATGGAACCATGCATTCACATTTACAAACATCAGTGTCCATTTGAACCAGGCACTGGTTCCTCAGGGTAGGCGCAAGGTCCTAAGCCTTCCACGGATTGGAATCCGTGCCCTTATTCAGGAGTGCTGGCGTTTCTGAGGACTAGGGTGCTAGGTGGCCTCTTATCTGAGTATACTTTCACCTGGGTGCTACCCCCTTCCTGCACAGAGGGAACTCGTGGGCCCCAGACACTCCTGTATCGCCCCTCAGCTCAGTTGGTCTCCCCTCATCCTCCATACGCCTGGGGTTTCTGCGTGTTTTTTTTTTTTTCTTTTTAAAAATTATTATTCTGTTCAAAACTCAGGAGTTTCTGAACATGTGGCTTTTTGAAAGGATCCTTGCTGTCTGTGTGGTTTCTTAGTTGTGGAGCCTGAGCCAGTTTGCTAATGACAGAACCTTGATAACAGCCCATTCATTTATTCATCATTAAGCCAGACTTCCCAGAAGCCTCTGCGTTCACAGAGGACCTGAGTCAGGTTCTCTCTTTCCTTGTTAAGAAAATAGATTAGGCTTTTTTCTTTCTCCTCTGGACATTGTCCCTGTCTACATGGAGGACAGCCCAGGCCACTTTCAGCTCTGAAGGAAGGTCTGTGTTCATTATCAGTCTCTAAGGCCAGTGGATTTGC